ACATAGCTAAATTAATTAGTAGAATGTTTTTGATAGAAAAAAAACAAAATCTATGGGGTAAGAATATGTGTTGCAGATAGACTGTGTATATGTGTGTTAAAGAGGACAAAATCGTCCAAAAAATAGTCAATTGTTATTTGCTTAATTTTGGTATATTAATGGCTATATTCTTTACACTTTATGAAATTTGGTTTTTCACTTAATTATTCCTTAAATATATGATTCTCCCGTAATGTTTTTTTTTTTTTAATTATAAGTTTCTCTCGTATTGTTTGCATGTGTGTTTTGTGTTGTCTTCACTTGCTCTTTCAAAAGACATTCTTTCGAGCATCAGAGCTTGCAATTGTTTGGTATTCTTGTGGCATTCCATTTTCATGCAAAAATCATCATCAAAATAAAAGTACGCAATCTGAGAAAGACGAATGAAATAAGACAAGAAAATAAAGGGCTTTTTGCACATATGACCTCAAAATTGAAGTCAAATGCAAATCTAACCTCTTTTTTCTCCCTCTTCAATATTAGTCAATTTCTCCCCACTTTTTCCCTAAAGCCACATATAATAACATAAATGCCATTATATTTATAATTATCGAATTTTTTAGGTAATTCGAAAAAGACATACCCATCCTAAGCTATTTTAAGTATTCACGAAAATGCCATCATCTTCAATTTCGCCAACTACCATTACCAACCAAAATGGAAGCTCTTAATGCTTGCCCATCTGCACTTGAAGCTCTAATGCTTATTTGGCCGCTCAAACTTCATTCTATCTTCAAATTTCTATCTGGTTTCATCTAAAAATCTCTTTCTTAGTCGATATTGATATGTTTGAATTCGCAAATCATATATTTTGTGAGATTCTTGGATAACCGAGTTCTGGGCTGGTTTCCTTTCCGTGCATCTCAAAAATTCTGAACTTCTGTCAAAGTTAATCGAGTTCAAATTGGAAGGAGGTAAACATCTAAATCTTTTCTTTAACATTGGGCTATGTTTCGCGAAAGTAGACTTCTTTTACAGTCTGCTAGTCAACGTAAAAGGTTAGATTTGCAATTGACCTTTTGGTATTTTTTTGAAAGTAGACTTCTTTGTAAGTCTGCGAATTTTCATTTGAATACAAAAAAACAACGTTTAGACTTCTATTTCAGGCTGTCGAAAAGCGAGAATAGTTTTGCATTTGACCGGAAAATATTATACTTTGACCTTTTCTGCAGACTTCGTGGAGATGTCTGAAAAAGATAAGTTTGACCTGAAAGGTTATTTTTGCATTTGACCAAGATGTTGACCACCTTTGACTGTTCGAGCAGACTTCTAAAGAAGTCAGCTACGAATTTAATTTATAGCAGATTTCTAAAGAAGTCTGCTATTAATTTAATTCAGAATTGGTCAAATGCAAAAATAACCTCTCGGCAGACTTCTTTTAGAAGTCTGCTACGAAAGTCAAACTTTGGTCAATTGTAGAAATAACCTGCAGCAGACTTCGTTAGCCGACTTCACATTAACAGAAGACTTCTTGCCTCTTACAGCAGACTTCAAAAGAAGTCTGCTGTAAAAGTCAAACGTTTGGTCAATTGCAAAAGTAACCCTGCCTTTTTGGCAGACTTCTTCGTGAAAGCAACCGGGTGGAGTTTTGCTGGAAGTCTGCATTTTTCTCGTTTTTAAAAAGTACTTTTTTAAAACTTTTGTGTGATGAAATTTTTTTTTTAATTTTTATTCTTGTTTAGAAGGTATATTTTCTTTACCTGTATTAATTTTGTATGCTTATGTGTTATACATTAAAAGTTATAATTTTTGTAGATTTGAACGGTAATTGGCACATATTAGCAGACTTCATAAGAAGTCTGCCATTGAAGTCTGCCTGTCGAAGGAGAATAACACAGCAGACAACACTTGAAGTCTGCCTAATTATTTTAACAAAAAATTCGTTTTCGAATTAATGGTATATGATAAAATAAATATATTGTTTGGACATGTTGATCTGCCTTTATTGGTTCCATATACGTGAGTTTCACGTTGATATGTGTTGTAATTAGAAAGTGATGAATTTTCTTGAATGTTTAGACGTTTAGCCGATTATAGCAGACTTCTTTAGAAGTCTGCTCTATGTTACTTGGAAAACACGGTTTATCTTGTGTGGTTTACCTTTTTTGCAGATGGCGGCTCAGTTGCCTGTTGTATTTGGAGAATGGGTTATGAGTGCTCAGTCGTGGCATTTTGAGGTGGATAATCGCAAAGGAGGGAGGTTGTTCTTCTTGAATGATGGTTGTACACATGGAGAACTCGTAGCTATGGCTCTAGATGATTACATGCTGGATGGAAATACGGACAGCGTGTCTATCACTTATGCATTGCCAGATTCAATGTTAGCAAACATGGCTCCGGATACCCCTCCTATGCATATTACTAATGATAGACAAGTACAGAGCTTAATTGGGCTGAGTAAGACGCATGTTATACGTCTTTGTGTATCTAGTCGCAAGGACAATGATGGATGTACTGGTGGTGTTGATGCTGCTGATGGGTGTTCTGTTGAAGGTGAGAATCAAAATACTGAGGAAGGTGAAGATGAAAATGTCGATGAGTATGATGATGATGAGATAAACGAGGACATCAAAAACGATTCAGTAAAGGAGGAAGACAGTACTGACTCTGAGGGTCAGGACTCTGAGGATCAGGACTACAGCCAATATGGGAAAGTGAAGGATGAGGATTCAAATTCTGATTCAGAGGGTGAAAGTGAGTGGATTGAAGAACCGGTGAAGGCTCCTCAAAGAGGATATGAAAGAAATTGGGTTGACAAAATAAAAGTAAACGGAATTTTTGCTACAAAAGACGACCTGATTTCTGAGATCAGGTTGACGGCTGTTATGTTGAAGTTTGCATTCAGAGTTGATAAGTCATCAAGACGTCTGTTTGTTGCTAAATGTGCTGTTAAAGGATGCCAATGGAGAGTTAGAGCAGCTATAAAGAACGAAGCAAAGATGTTTTGGGTCACTAAATATGTCAAAACTCATACCTGTTCAGTTTCAGATCGGTTGGCTCACCGAAAGCATACGACTCCAAGATACATTGGAAAGTTTTTTATAGAGCGTGTGGGAATAATTGATGGGATTACTGCAGAACACATCAAAGATTCAATGCAGACGATGTTTCAATTGAAAATAGACTGCACAACTTCGTATAGAGCTTTGATGTATGCACAAGAATGTGTGAGGGGAAGCCCTGAGGATGGATATAGCCGACTGCCTTCTTATTTGCGTCTGATCGCTGAAGCAAATCCGGGTACTATAACTGCCCTTGAACGCGACAGTCAGAATAGGTTCAAGTACCTATTCTTAGCCTTCAGAGCCTCCATAGCTGGTTTTCAATATCTCAGACGGGTCATTGTTGTCGATGGGTGTCATCTGACTGGAAAGTATGAAGGGACTCTGCTAGTGGCCACAGCACAAGATGGTAACTTCCAGATATTTCCACTAGCTTTTGGAATAGTGGACTCTGAGAATGATCACGCATGGGAATGGTTTTTTAGAAAATTACGGGAGTGTTTTACAGACGAGTATCCATTGGTGATAGTTTCAGACCGGCATCATTCAATTAAGAATGCATGTGAGACTGTATTACCATGGGTAACACGCAGTATATGCTATTATCATCTGCAACACAATATTGTCACTAAGTTTAAGGGGAAGCATCTTATGTACTTAGTCAAACGTGTTGCGTATGCATATACGGTACATGATTTTAACCGTTATATGGACGAGATAAGGCATATAAAACCTGACCTTGCAACGTACCTGGAGGAGGCTGGCCTTCAGTTGTGGTCAAGAGTTCACTTTCCAGGTGATAGATACAATATAAAGACGAGCAACATCGCAGAGTCTATCAACTCTGCTCTCAAACGGGCACGGGGATTTCCCATAGTATTCCTGTTGGAGTACTTACGGGCGAAGCTAACAAAGTGGTTTTGTAAAAGGCGGGAAGATGCTTTGAGTCTTCCAACTAACCATACTCGAGGAGTTGAATATTTGTTGGCAATTCGTTCACATTATGCTGATAAGTTGACGGTTGAAGGCATAGATGGTTGGCGATTCAATGTGAAAGGAGGATCACATAACTGTGTCGTTGATTTGGAACTTCGAAAGTGTGGGTGTGGCGTGTATGATATTGAGAAAATACCTTGCTCTCATGTTATAGCCGTTTCAGATGCAATGCATATGCATCTGGCCACTCTTGTATGCCCGACATACTCCAAAGATTACTTGTATGCAGCGTACTCGCATAATATATATCCTCCAAGCATTGCAATGAAAACCGATGAAACAACACAATGTCTACCTCCGGAGGTCCGACGTAAAAAAGGCAGGCAGAGGAAGTCAAGATGGCAAACTTGGCTGGAAATTTCGAGGCATAAGCAAAAGAAACCTCGTAAGATCCACAAGCAGTACAGTTGTTCGAAATGTCACCAACCAGGACATACTAGACCGGATTGTGTAAGTGTTATGTTACCTTCTTTAAGGGTTTAGGGTCGAAGTTAATTTCCTCTGTTTTTTTTTTGCAGACGTTGAAGTCAAGATAAAACCCTAAAACTATAATAACAGACTTACACTGAAGACTACTACTAGAAGTCTTCTACCGTAGTCTGCACAAGAAGTCTGCTTCACCAGGTAAGGGAAACACTACTGAAATATGTCTGTTTAATGTCTATGTACGATCATTCTTAATTATTGTCATAAACTATGCAATATAATAAGCTATGATTAGGGTAAACCTTAGAGTACGTGAATTATCACAAAAGCCACACTAGTCTATTACAAGCGTTTAACCTCCAAAACATACAACCACACCATTGTTCTAAATATTACTAAACAAACCGAAATTAGTTAGGAACATTACAGTTAAATAAGAGAACAACAATTCTGGCAGGTTAACCAAAAACTTCCAACCATACCACACCCAACGAGAGTCCTTTCTCTTTCATTACAGAATATACATAGTTGGACATATCACTTACCTTCGTATACGTCCAGCCATGGATACTCATACTTCTCTGTGCCGGTTACTCCTGTCTCGTCAAATATCTCAGCTGCCAGCTTGTCTCGGATGTTTTTAATGTTTGCATCGCACAAGGTCTTCGGAAATGGCATCCCTACAGCATGGCATTCAAGGTACTTCAAGCAGTAAACGCCACATTCACCGCTTTGTTTGTTTTGTGGGATCAAATGCCCCTTGATTCGCTCCCACGTGAATGGATCATAAGTCAGATTGATACGGTCTTCAGCAGGTGCACACTCACGGAGTATGTAGGGAACCAAGACGGTAATCGGAGTCACAGCAGCCTCAATCTGAATATCCGATGCATGAGTATTCGCATGGCTATCCAAAATGACAATATGCTTCATCGGAATCGAAATCCACATTGCCACCCAGTGATCATCAGTGATGTGTAACAACGAGTACAGGTCATCTACATCATACCCCCACGTCTTGTTACTAACGCAGTAGGTTGGGGCTGCGCCAGTGTAGTACTCGAACGAGCCAGCTGGAAGGAGCTTGCCTGAACCATCAGGGTTGGCGTGAGAGTCCACGAACTCCTTGTACTTGTACCTCCACATCGTTGCAAAGTAAGAGTCGAGGAATGTTATCCTGTCCGACATAAACCACTCAGGATGCTTTGTAAATCGCAGCCTGAGTAGGTTAATCCCAGCTTCCATTTGCTGCATATTCAATGAAAACAATTATTCAAGCAGAGTGTAATATGTTGTGTTCATATCATATATACACTCGCGTAACTTACAGTGTCTGCTAGCCATTGTTTAGGAACTCTTAGAATGAAGTACCAGTCCACGGATGACCACTTTACCCGCTTCGGATATGCCCTGAAAACAACACTATTTTACAATATCATCCACTACTCTTACAATGGAAAGTCTGCTTTATGCTAACTCTAAAACAAAGACTTACGGATCTTTTTTCAGACAATCAGTTAGCACACCGATCTTTTGCTTCACGTGTTTCATATCAAACGGATCATATCCGCACCCTCGGACATTTTTGTTTGGGATTATTTCCTTCGCTGTGCTGTTGGGTTTGAAAGGGCTTTGTTGTGTAGGAGCCAACTTTCGCAGACGTTCACTCTTCGCACGAGCAACCAGTTGTGCCGCCTTCTTGCCTTTCTCGTGTTTATCTTTCTGGACCTGATCGAAGTCGATGTCGCATTTTGCTGGATCAACCATAACGACGCTTGGCTCTGGAGTTCCCTGCTTACCATCGTTCACGCTCTCACTTGGGACATCAGTTTGTTCATTTTGCTTAGACATAAAATTACTCTGCAAATATAAAGATTTAAACACACATCAATGAAACGAAACCAAACATCAAACATTAAAGAGTACAAATAAAAACATTAAATATTTAGTGGTGACAACATTTTTAAGGTTTTAAAACAGATTGGTAAGGTTCGATGAGAAGTTTGAAAATAAATATGGAATTTTATTTTTTCCGGGGTTTCCTTCCTCTTTTCTTTGGAGCGGGTTTTGGACTAACCCCGATATTAGGATCGGCGTCCGTGTCCGTTTGATCGTCGCCAACAGGTTTTGCGCCCTCGGCGTCTGCTTCACCAGTCTGAGCCACATCCTCCTTTGTACCTCCGGTCCCAGCTTGGAGGATCACTGCCTCTAATTTCTGCTCCACCGTTCCCAACTTTGTGTTGAGTAGTTTGATCTGAGATTCACAACTACTCAACCCATCCATCATCTTGTTGAAGCAGTCGTCCATGTGGTCCTTCAGAATCGTGACCATTGACTCATCTTCCTCACCAGAGGCTGGGCAGAACCGCTTCCAACTTCCTTGATCACCAACTGATTCCGATCGCCTCTTCAGATCGACAGACCCTTCAGACTTGACATACTTGGTCACACCTGTTGGAGGCCAATGACTCCTTTCCCATGTCCATTGTTTAGGGCCAAAATGACCATACATCACTTTGATGATGTTGTCAGTCCTCTCGTCTTCTTCATCATCGTCTTCAATTTCCCAGCGCGGAAACATGTCGAAGAATTCCTTAACAACGTAGTTGTTAATGCGTGTCTACATGGAAATCAAAACAGAGTTATATAACGTATAATGCGGAAATCAAAACTAAGAAGTCTTCCCAAGAAGTCTTCCTAAGAAGTCTTCTTAAAAAGTCTTCCTAAGAAGTCTTCCTAAAAAGTCTGCCTAATTAGTCTGCTGTATACTACAGACGTCTGCACTAGAAGTCTACTAAATAAGTCTGCCGATATAATAGTCAACCAAGTATGAATTCAGACTACTTACCTGTCGGAGCATATTCTCTTTCATAAATTTCCTCCCCCTGGATCCCTTGAAAGCTATCAGCGGTACATTGTGGTCGCCTGGAAGTGGTTCACCAAATTTAGCAGCAAAGTCGGGAAGAGCAAAGTAAACCCAGACTTGTAGTACTTGAACAAACCCCTCAATGGTGTACGACGACTTCCAAATTTCTTTCTCCTTCACTGACCGCATCAGGTTTTTGAAGGCCACTCTTCCCCAAGGGTAGTTTTCAAACGCTTCTAAATCCATCACAAGCCTTGCCAACCTAGCCCGAGTAGCTGAAGATGGCTTTCGTGCTTCAATGTAACTAGTATAAATGCTAAGGTATCCCAGCCTCAACCGATCCTCGGAAGACCACGACCCGCATTCCTTACAAGCTTCTATCAAATCTTCAGTGCTCGGGCCCAACTCCTGATTGACTCCCAATCGCTCCCAGAAATATTTCATCTCATCAGTTATCTCAACCACCGGATCCTCGAGGTTGTCCACGTACTCGCAATTCAAGCCAGTAATATGTTCGAACTCATTCAAAGAAAAGCGGATTGGGATTAGACCTACGAGGCTCCAAATCTCAAATTTTTTCTTGCAAACTAGCTGCATGCCGAGAATGTAATGCACCAGTCTAGATGCCCAGCCGAAATCCAACTGACTGAACTTCAAGAACACTCTCAATATCTCTTCCCACTCATCTTGTGTGAGTGCTTCCTCGAGTGCAGTCATCAGCTTCGTCTCACCGCTATAGTAACCGATGCTTTTCAGCGGAGACGGCTCATCGCCTTTCGAGAAGAGACGCGGGGGGAACTCTGGGTTTTCCATTGGCTGTTCTGACGTCTGCAAAACAAAGTCCAATATTCAAGAAGTCTACTTATGAAGACTTCCGAAGAAGTCTGCACACGAAGTCAGCCAACTAAGTCTGCAATTGAAGTCTGTAGACCTAACAGTCTAATTAAAAAAGTTTCAAAAAGTTCTTTAAAAAAACACAACCCGTTTTGAACTCCGTTTTACGAGATAATACTTCCAAAATAGTTCGCCTAAACACTATACAAGTCCGTTTAATAAATAAAAAAAATACAGATATCTCTAATTCACAGCAACTAGAAACTTGGAAACGGGTATTCGATTTTTGTCCGACTTTGGAAATATCTACTCGGTGTTGTCCGATTTTTATAAAAATCGATGTAGAAACCCAAATGATTAGGAACTTGGAACCCGTAAAGATATTTATTTACAAATTATAAGAAATTAGTACAGCCAAATACCTTTCCACGACCAACGGCGAAAATAAAAAGTTACGGACAGCGGCGACACCAGATCTAGAATAGAACGCGAAGGAGATTAGGGTTTGTGAATTACACAGACGACTTCTATCCAAAAGATAAGTCGGCATTAAATTCGACTTACCTTAAACGGTAAACGGATGTACAGTAAAAACCGGCGACAAGTTCCGAGAACTAAACCCAAACGACAGTAGTTTTTTTTTTTTACCGATTTGTGTTAGTACAGTGTTCGTAGAAAGTCTTATATATGACCGTAGAAACCTATTTAACCGTCGTACCGGTTCAATAACCGTCGTACCATTTCAATAACCGTCGTACCAGTTCAATAACCGTCGTACCAGTTCAATGTGGTTTATCGATTTCGTTATTTAAAACGCAATTGGTTTAGCCAATTATAGCTGGTTTGCAATATAATTTTAAAACTGTCTGGTTTAGTTAATTCGACGTATTAAGTCTGCATATTAAGTCTGCTTAAGAAGTCTGCATATTAAGTCTGGTTAAGAAGTCTGTCTACGAAGTCTGCATATTAAGTCTGTTTAAGAAGTCTGTCTACGATGTCTGCATGTGTTTTTTATTAATATCATATGAAAAGTAGTTTTAGAGTTTGTATGTAGAGACCCTTAACTCACGGCCTGCATATGTACACAATACACAAAGTGCACATAGATTCCCCAGTATACGAACAATGTATATGCAACAGTAAACACTAACATTAATCACCATAGAATACATATGTTTTATCCCAACTAGTCTACTTAAAGGTTACACAAGTCTCTTGGTTTAGTATTCTACATCCCAACGCATGAAAACACAAGAGATTACTGCAAAAATAACTAAAAAAACACAAAGTAGGATATCAGAACCTTGATTAGCAAGTGCTTCTTTCACTCCAGCAATTTCACTCTGAATGAACCCTATGAACTCC